ATGTTGACACGTAGCTTCAAATTTTATTTATGCTTACATGGTTAGAATAGGAAAAGAACTCCTAACACTTGTGTTCATATATATCTGATTAGAACACTACCGTATTCTTATATCTAAAGTAGCATTAATGTTTAGGAAAACTTATTTTCACTGTTTTAGTGATTCATCCATTGAAATATAGTGGATATACTTACTTGTTCTTAATTTAGTCGATTTTTTTTGGAGTTAATAATATAATGCACAATCTGTTTCATTTTTTTATGTGAAAGTTAGTCATGACATGTATCTAATTACCACAAAATTTGATTTTTACCACTACAATTTATTTGTGCGGTTGCGGCTTGCAACAACAGAAAGTTTTTATATGTGCATTCTATTATAGAGGTTTTATGTTAGAACCATAAACTGAAAACTATCTTTAGTAAAATTTCCTTATAGATAGTTGAATACTGCATTCTCTAATTATTAATACACTTGGATACTAATGCGCATGCATAGTATTTCAGTACTGACTTTGGCTCAAGGATGAGTTCCAATGCATTGGCCTAATTATGGGTAAGACGATGGGTTAAAGTCCCAACGTACCACGAGAGTAAGATATTGGGTTTGAGTCAAGGTGCAACATGATGATAAGAGTTGGGCTCGAGTCCCAACGCATTATAGTCTTACATGCCTTTATATGGGTAAGACATTGAGTTTGAGTCCCAATGTACCATATTGATGATCTAATAATGACTAATAAAAATAATCTTTCATGATTGTATGAATGTACGAGGGCATGACAAACGACGAAATAATAATTGTCATCACTATGGTAACTATAAAAGGAGAACAATAAGGGTTCTCGAAGTAATCCTTCAAAAGGAGAAGGAAATATTTACCATCAAAGGTATGAAAAATTTATAAAGCATGTCACGATAATTATACTCCATTCTTTGAAAAGAATGTGACATGTGATAAGCATTGAGAATGCAGATTCATTCTTGAAGGTGAATGTAACAATATGTGATAAAAGTAATGAATAAAGACGTGCAATACATGATTGGATACACACTACAATTCACCTCTAAGGGAGGTTTGAGAGAAAGAAAGATAACGAATATTACAGTGTGGTTACATGAATATGTCATTGATCGCGTACATGGGGTATGCCAAAAATATTTCGACATGCCTTATAAAAAGTTATTAAAGGCAAAAATAAAGCAAAAACTGATTTTGCTTATGATGATTGACAATGTCTATAATATTAATTTTTCTTCGTGAAGGAGACATTTACAATATGGATGGTGAGAAAAAAGTCTTTTAGTACAAAATTAATTAAGAGCTCCGGAAAAGCTAATTTGTTACTACTCAGATAAATAAAATTGTTCATGACATTGATATTGTAGTAAGTCTCAAAAGAAACCTTTTGAATTTAAAATATAATAGCCAAAGTGGTTGGCATTTGAGACTATAAATGAAAAGAAGATTGAATGTCTTCATAGTACTATAATCACACCGGATAAATATGAAAGGTTACCCGACTTTTCTTCTATTTGTACTACACATGTATAAGCATGATGATAGAATCGCATGCCATAGCAAATTAGATGTTTACTGAAATAAGTATCAGTTGGCATGACTGGTCGGCCACCCCGGTTTAATTATGATGCGAAAAATTGATTGAGAATTCATATTGGCATATATTAAAGAAATAGAAGGTTCTTCAAGAATTCTCTTGTGCTGCTTATTCTTATGATATACCAGTNCACATGTGCGTTTGTTATCAACTTGCAGTTTGGATTTTGCAAGATTGATTGCTCAAATTATTAGAGCAGAGTCCAGAATATAAATTTATCTTGATAATACTGGTTTAAATCCAAGTTGGTTTAGCAAAGATTGTATGCCTCCAATTATAGCTAAACCATTGGTTATGAGAAAAAAATTACCAAAAAGAAATTTGGTATGAGATATATTATTTAATATAGAGCAGCACTTGTACGCATCTAGCCAAGTTATGATAAATTCTCCCCGTCACAATTGGTTCAGGGCCAGGAACTAAATAATTTCCATCTTGAATTATGGATGTACTATATGATTTAATTGTGACACCACAATGCACAAAGATGGGTTCCCAAAGAAGGCTGAAAAATGTGTTGGTGATCCTAACATTAGGGGGAGAAAATGGGCAGCTGAAACAGTAATATGTGGAATGAATTATTATGAATACATCTAGATCCTCGTACAAGAAAATCTGAACTTGAAGTTCAAGTGATGATTCATTTCCAAAATATTGCCAGGAGCATTTGCCGACCCAAAGCTAAATGTCATATTTCAGTTGTTAATGCTCCAAATATAATAAAGTCCATGATGGACATAGTTTATGATACACATGAAGCGTAATAGACTAATAGATTCCAAAGATAAAACTCCTTGAAGAAGGAGAGGAACAAATGTTCAAGATGGTCATAATAAGAAGGCAAGTGCTTTATAGGAGCACCATGACATAACACTTTATAAGACCTCATGGGAGAGGCTCAGGTACCTGAAAATAATGAGATAAAGAGATCGCAATAAGTTATGTTTTTAGTGGGTAACGACGGAACCGATGTAAAATGATCGTCGACAATATTGTTGATATAATATAGTGCTCAATATTATTAATATTGACGAAGATCTTGAGTTAAATCTGTCATGGAATTTGGACAGATAAATGATTGGCCAGATGAAAAAAATACACAATGAAATTTGATTTCACCCGAAAAATATGAAGTTGGACAGATAGTCCCAACACCTGAAAGTGAAATATAAAATCAAGTCGATGGACATAAAGATGACTTGTGGCACACGATATTTCATAAATATTCCGGCATTAGTTATATAGAGACAGGTTCTCCTATGGTGGATGAAATTGTTTTCAGGTTTTAAAATGGCAATACATGAAAAATTTGATATGCGTATAATGAAAATCCTTAAATGATTTAAACTGTTCTGAAGCATATAGAGGTTCCCAAAAATTTTGTTAAATAAAGCTTCAACAAATTCTTATATGGATTAGAGCAAGCATGGCGTGCATGATTTATTTTTGTGTCTGTTGTAATTGGTGCACTATGTATCTTGCTAGAACCATGAGTATAACAATATGCTAGCAAGATCTAGTTTTATTACTATATGAAGATATTGGAATACTATTAGTACTATACTGCAAAAGAAATCTCTGATATAGATTATTTTATTCTAACAAATATTGTCAAGGTTTTGTTAGTTATGCAAATGCAGGCATTTTTTGAAGTCCGTTCTTCAAAGAATCTATTTGTATGCGAGGGAATTGCCATATTATCATTTCACAAGGTTGCTAATTGTTGATAATTATTCAAGTCATGTTAATATACTAGCAACTGATAAAGCAAGTGACTCAACACACTATAGATTTGTGACTTTTCTTTGAAGAGAAGATTCCAATAATAGTGAAGACGCTGATGTTTGCTTATCTCAATTGAAAGAAGGATATATTGAAGAAGACAGAATAAGTCCTATATTTCATCAAAGTTCTTTGTCAGACACAATCTTCAACATAATGATGAAATAGATGTTCAAAAAATTCATTCAAGTGATAATTTGGCGGAATAATTCACCAAAGCATTACCGGTCTCAAGATTAGAGAAATTGTTATACAAGCTTAGAATTTTTCGTCTCCAAGAAATAAAGTGATGTTTTCATCAGGGGGAGGCAAATACGAGCTGTACTCTTTTTTCCTTAGCTAAGGATTTATCCCACTAGGTTTTCCTGGCAAGGTTTTTAATGAGGCAACAAGTAATGCGTATTACAATATATGTGTACTCTTTTTTCTTCAATATGATTTTTTCTCATTGGATTTTTTTCCTAGTAAGGTTTTAACAAGGCACATTATCTATAGACATCCAATGGGGAGTGTTGTGAAATACTATAATTATATTAGTGGATGTCTATAACTCCTAAAGAAGTTACTCCCACTACTCTTCTCCATTATCTCCATAACTTCCACTACTCCAATACTTATGGTTGTAACTCTCATGCTTCCATAACCTCCCCCATGATCTTCCTCCATGATCTCAAATATTTAATGTCATATTTATGACATTCTTTTGTATGCCTCTATGTAATCCTATAAATAGAGGGTTTTGGCACCACATTATAGACACTTGAATACATGGAAGAAATAAGAATCTCTCCTCTCTTTATCTCTTTCTCTCTGTATCTCTTATTTATTTTCTTGTTTTATGTTATTGCTTTGAGCTTAGTTTCTTAACAAAAGCGTATCTTTATCATTTTCACGTTGTGATTGTAAAAAGAATGTTATATTACGTAATTTATATGTCATTCTTTTGGTTTGAAACATTTCAAACAAGAAAAAGTGAAGAAATACTCTACTACTCCCTTCGGTCCATAATAAGTGATTTTTTGACATTTTTTTTTGTGATCCAAAATATCCGTTTTCACAAATTTCAAGATAGAATTAATTATTTTTTCCTACATTACTCTTGGAGTAAATAGTGTTGGAGTATATGTTAGGAGTGTTTATGTAAAGAGATAATAAAAATTAATATGATCAATTTTATTACTAATTAATGATAAAAAGTGAATTTTTTAATTTGTGTAAAAAAGGTCGAAAAACCACTTAGTGTGAACGGGGAGTACCAATTAGTTATGTTTTTATGATTACTTAAGGACATCAATATCAAGGTGAATTACACTTCTCCAAGAGTACATTAAAAGCAGCCTCCCTACGTGAACAAGGGCTGTGGGCAGAGCTGAACAGCTCATTGTTTAGCATCAAAGGTGTGGCACGTGGATTTGATTAGAGGCCGCGAGTCATAATTTTAATTTTAAGGGTTTCAAATTTTAGAGCGATGATATTTTTTTTATTAATGATTGAGTTTTAAATTTAATATTTATATGTTAATAATTGAGTTATTAGTAAACATTGTATGTATATAGTAAAGTATTCCTATGACTGGGAAAAAACGCTGTTAGAGTAGCACTTTACTTTAGTCATTGTCAAATAATGCTACTCTCTCTCTCTCGCCATTTCTAAATCGATCCTTCACCTCAGTCCACCTTTTCAACTTCTGAACTATAGTTTTGATCTTCTGTAAAATGGTCAGCATAATCATACACCCTCTTCCGTAGTAACAATGCCAAATTCCAAATTGTGAACCAGATAGTTCTCCTAATTACAGGGTTTCAACTGTCGTGACACCTAAGCAATCACCTTACCACTCCGCACTACCACTGCACCAAAACCAACACGTGAAACATCACAATACACCAAGCTCAATGACGAAACAAGATTATCGAACAAAAGTTGCATCATTTTTCTCCGATGGGTTTGTGTTTGTCGGTGGAACTTTAGTGGCTGTACTGGTATTCTTGGCCATATGGTCATTCATTAGTCCAAATCCCAGTTTTTCTACCATTATGATGTCGAAGTCCAATACTTTGGACTCTAAATCAGCGGTCTTTAATTTAAATCAAGATTCGCAAGAACCAACTTTTTATGATGATCAAGATTTGAACTACGGTATAGAGAAACCAATAAAAAACTGGGACGAGAAGCGAAGTAAATGGCTAAAGCTTCATCCAACATTTAATCATGGTGTAAAAGAACGGATTCTTGTCGTTTCAGGTTCACAATCGATGCCGTGTAAGAACCCCATGGGCGATCATTTGTTGCTGAGGTTCTACAAGAATAAGGTACGTAGTCTTGTAGTCATTTTTGGAAATAATTAATTTTGTAACCTCTATTTTAATTTTGAGGTTTAAGAGTTACTCATATAACAGCTACAATAATTTGTTATTATTATTGAATAACTAATTAGGGTGTCCAACAGGTAGACTACTGCAGGATCCACGGGTATGATATTTTCTACAATAACGTGTTATTGCAGCCGAAAATGTTCTTCTTTTGGGCAAAAATGCCGGCTGTTCGAGCAGCAATGGTAGCTCATCCAGAAGCAGAGTGGATTTGGTGGGTGGATTCAGATGCTGCCTTCACTGACATGGATTTCAAGCTACCGTTGGAGAAATACAAAGATCACAACTTTGTTGTCTACGGTTGGCCCAAATTAATCTACGAGAAGAAGAGCTGGACAGGTAACCAGATGTAGCAAATTGGCGAGTTGGATTATATTAAACTTAGGTGGGTTAAAACGGGTCAAATCAATAGATGGATTATAATAACCTAACTCTTTGATCAAGATAGGTCAATAACAGTTATTACTCAATTTGTCTAGCATGTCCTAAGCTCCCATCCTTTTTATTTTTGCTTTTTTTTTTGTGTGGAAAAAAGTGAATTAAATTATCAGTTTATATTTTTTCAAAATTACATATATAATTTCCTATCTCTAAATTTATGTTTGAGGGATTGCATTGTAACTTCAAAAAATTTACATAGGAGAAGGGGAAGGATGTGGGAGTCGAACTCACACTTATTATAAAGACTTTCCCTCGTATCACTATACTATAAATCTCTGTCAAGTTACACTATTTTGATCAATTTAATCCAATAACTTCTTATGGGTCAAATCCAATCCGTTTAAACTTATGCCAACAATTGTGTGTGTTCTAGAATATAAATTGATATTGCTACGTCCGCAGGTCTGAATGCTGGAGTGTTCTTGATTCGAAACTGTCAATGGTCAATGGACTTAATAGAAGCTTGGGCAAAAATGGGTCCACAGTCAACGGAATACGATAAATGGGGTCAAATTTTACAGTCAACGTTCAAAGACAAGAATTTTCCACAGTCCGATGACCAGTCAGGTCTGTCCTATTTACTTTTGAAAGAAAAAGACAAATGGGGAGACAAAATTTACTTAGAGAGTGAGTATTATTTCCAAGGTTATTGGGTAGACATTGTAGGCCAACTTAATAATATCACAGACAAATACCTTGGAATAGAGAAAAAAATGCCTAGCTTAAGGAGAAGACATGCAGAGAAGGTAAGTGAGAGGTACGGTAAGCTTTGGGAGGAGTACTTAATTAAGGATAAATGGAGGAGGCCATTTATTACACATTTTACTGGTTGTGAACCTTGTAGTGGTGATCATAATCCAATTTATTCTTGGGAAACTTGCTATAATGCAATGCAAAAGGCATTAAATTTTGCAGATAATCAAGTGTTGAGGAAGTATGGTTTTGTTCATAAGGATTTACTTGATTCCTCATCTGTTTCTCCTTTGCCTTTCGACTTTCCATCCAATTCCTCGGTATAAGAATGTAATTTGTGATGTGTGGATTAGATACACATATCACGAGTTCGAATCTTGTTGCAGAAACATAAATCTTATATTTAAGTGGAGAAGGATAGAAAGATAGATTTATTGTGTGACGAGTTTTGCATCGTGTACCATTAGCCTCCGCGTGTATTTAATTAAATGTTTTGTGTACTTGTGTTGATAGTGATGATCGTGATTCTTTGTTTTTTTTTGTTGATAAATTGACGATTATATTGTGATTTTCTTTAAAGATGTGAATACCTCTTTGTTATTATTAGGTTTTATATATTCCATGCAGTTGGATTCTTTTTCTGAAGTGGTCAGGTCTTTTGTTCTTATTTTATGCATGCATGACGATAAATAACGAAAAGGGGAAAGCCGAATATTTTTTCCCTTTGGGCACGTTGCATTGTATGGACATTGCTGGCACTTTGTTTTTTTAGACTGAACGATATGTTTTAATATGTTGGACACCATCCAACCAGGGGCCAGGTGGTTTTAAGAGAAGAGCTAAGGGATAGATTGAGGAAAAAGAAAACAAACTAAAAGCATCTAATTCAAGTAATTAAGAGTTTATCTTACCAGCTAACGGTGTAATTTAATTACTGTAGAAGTTAAAACGAATTCTTTACTTTACTTTATGTTTCCAATAACAACATAGTGGGTCAGAGGAACTGTTAGAAAGGATACGCGGAGGCGAATCTAAGACTTTTAGAATACAGATGCATCATTAATATTTTTTTTTTTTTGTATTAAGTGAGAATTGATCTATGTTTATTTGGATAAATAATTCAATATTAAATCAAGTCACGATTCAATCTTTTTGGAAAACAGGGTCCGAAGATAGTATTAAACCAATTCTAAAAAATACATACATAAAATAACTAATTTGGCGGGGAGATCAGTGGCAGAGCCACATTCAAAGGGGTGTCATGAACTGACACCTCTTTCGCTTGGAAAATTATACTATTACTAGATAATTTTTTTTTATTTTATATATATATATACTGTCTCGGTGTATTTAACTTTTTACACCATAGTAAAAATCCTTGCTCCGTTATTGGGGAAAACTATAGGTTCATTTGGCCATAAGGGCTATAAATCCACCCGGAGGATACGAATAGTATCTCAAAATGGAAGATCTTCTTGTTAAAAGACAATTTTTTCTTTCACTTTATAAAAAGTTACTCGTAATTTTTTAGTGAGCTAGTAAAGAGTTAGTAAAAAAATTGAGCTCGCGCTAATGAGAAATGAACGGAAAGTCAAAGGTGGTGAATTTGCCCGGAGCTCGAGATATACGCGAGGTCCACTCCTAGTCATCTTCTAAATTACAAGTATATAATTTGTAAATTTCAGACCTTTAATTTGCTACTTTGAAAACATAAACTAAAAAAATACTCTGTTTTTTTTTTTTTTTTAACTTATAAATTTGTGTTTTTGCTGCTTTTGTTTTATAACATAAGAGTGTTTACGGTCAAAATTACATGACTCCGATTCACAAGCTCGAGGGCCCGTCCTAAGTCCGAGTCCGGGCGAGATCAAGTTTGAGCTCGAGGGACTAGATCCAGGTTCGAAGGCGAGGCACGATGCACACTGAAGTCGAGTGTGCTCGACCTCGAAATAGTGCCGTTATGGATTTGTACCAGAATGAGTTGGAATCCTGCCACATCCCCAGAGTCATGGCGCAAATTCCGGAATAGGATTGTACGATTCCATACTAGGCGGTTAGACAGATGTACCAAGAATATTCTTTACTGTAAATAGAAATATTTCTTATTTAGGATTCTACTATTATATAAAGGGGACACCAATCATTTGTAAGATCATCTTATCATCATTGAGAAAAGAATATACGCTTTGCCTTTTTGCCTACTATTCATCAGCATTGTCCTTAACTCCATTGTTCTTGCTTTATTTTTATTACTTAATTGTTCTTACTGCGCTCAGTTACCTCGAGGTCACTAAGCTCGAGGTCACTGCTGCTAAGTAACATTGGTTTGATTCACTTATATCTTTCATTTCTACTTCATATTTCCTGATTATTAATTGGTATTGAACTAAATCACATATCTTTAAAACCACTAATCAAATTTAGTCGTTACTCATATTTTTCGAGGTAAACAGTTTGGCGCCCACCGTGGAGCTAAAGATAATAGTGATTATTTTTTTTACTGATTCTCATTACACACGTTGTTTTTACATTTTTTCTTGTCAAAGTTTTTTTGATTCTCAAGCTGAAACATGTCTAGCACACAAAATGCACATGTCCATGACAACGAAGGTCTTGGAGAAAATAGCAGTATAAGGGTCGGTGTACCACCAATCAACCCTGAGGAAGTGCCAAATATGGAGCCAGTTGATCTCAACTCACATAATGTTCTAAACGCGGACTCAGGCACAGATCCTGCAGGGAATCAACGCAGGGAAGCTTGATCTGGTGACCAAGGAGCACGAGGAATGGGACATGGGGGAATCAGCCTCCAAGTGATATTTGAGATGCTGCAGGCTCAACAAATCGCCATCGCTCAACTTCAGAGTCAAAATAAGAGCCCGAGCGTAGCTGAACATGAGAATACTCGGCCTGCTGAACTAGAACTGGAGAGATAAAACAGAAATAACTCGGGGACTGACCCCACCATCATGAGGATGCTCGGAGAGCTCGCCAAGAGGATCGAGACTGGAGAAAAGAAGATTGAAGAAAATGATAAAAAGGTTGAGACTTACAACTCCCGTGTTGATCAAATACCGATGGCACCTCCGGTCTTGAAAGGTTTAGATGCCAAAAAGTTCATACAAAAACCATTCCCCGCAAGTGTGGCTCTGATGCCCATTCCAAAGAAGTTTCGTATGCCCGATATACCCAAATATAATGGGACAACTGACCCTAACGAACATATTACTTCATACACTTGTAGAATCAAAGGAAATGACTTGAATGATGATGAAATCGAGTTATTGAAAAAGTTTGGGGAAACACTATCAAAAGGAGCTATGATCTGGTATCACTACTTGGCTCCTAACTCTATTGATTCATTTGCTATGTTGGCAGACGCCTTCGTAAAAGCACACGCCGGGGCCATAAAGGTGGCCGCGAGAAAATCGGACGTCTTCAAGATAAAATAGAGGAACGACGAGATGCTAACAGAGTTCGTATCTAGGTTTCAGATGGAAAGAATGGAATTGCCGCCGGTCTCTGATGATTGGGCAGTTCAGGCCTTTATGCAAGGTTTGAATGAAAGGAGCTCGATTGCATCTCGACAACTAAAGCAAAACTTGATTGAATATCCAGTCGTGACATGGTCGGATGTGCACAATCGTTACCAGTCAAAAATCAGGGTCAAGGACGACCAGTTGGGAGCCCCCTTGGGTTCAGTTCATCCTAACAGATTTGCATCCAAGCCCCTGAGGGACACAGACCAGGAATCAAGATTCAACAAAGAACGGTATCAGCCATATGCTAATCGAAGGAACAGCGGCCTGAGCCGCAATGCCCCTCGGAGCGAACAGAGAAACGATCGAGGTCAAAGTTCTCGGGGACTCATGAGCAAGAGTGGGTTCGATAAACATGCCGACCCCACAGAAGCTCCCCACTTATCGGAGTACAACTTTAGCGTAGATGCGTCCGGGATTGTCTCAGCTATTGGGAAAATCAAAGATATCAGGTGGCCCAGGCCTATACAGACTGATCCTTCTCAAATAAATCCAAATTGATGTGCAAATATCATGGCACACATGGTCATCGAATGGAAGATTGCAGACAACTAAGGGAAGAAGTGGCTCGTTTGTTCAACGAGGGCCATCTTCGAGAATTCCTAATTGATCGGGCTAAGAATAACTTCAGGGAGAAGGATGCAAGGAAAAATGAATAAGAAGAACCACAACATGTAATCCACATGATCATCGGCGGAGTCGATGTCCCTCAAAGGCCCGTGTTCAAGCACACCAAAGTATCAATCACCAAAGAAAAATAGACTCGGAGCTATGTGCCCGAGGATGTCTTATCGTTCTGTGATGAGAAAGTAGAAGGCATATCTTAGCCTCACAATGACGCCCTGGTAATCTCTATATTTTTGAATAAAATTCAAGTTAAATGTGTTTTAGTGGATCTAGGTAGCTCAGCAAACATAATTAGATTGAGAGTCGTGGAATAACTCGCCCTACAAGATCAGATCATACCTGCATTCTGGGTCCTAAATGGCTTCAACATGGCAAGCGAAACAATAAAGGGAGAAATTATCTTGCCAGTAAACGTAGCCGGGACCATACAAGATATGAATTTCCATGTCATCAAGAGTGACATGAGATATAATGCACTCCTCGAGAGACTGTGGATATACAACATGAGGGCAGTGCCTTTAATTCTTCACCAAATGATGAAGTTCCCAACAGAAGAATGAGTAAAAATAGTCTATGGGGAGTAACATGATGCAAAGGATATGTTTGCAATCGAGGAAGTGATTCAAACTTTAGAACCCTCGACCTCGGAGAAATCGAGCGTTGGAGGTAAATAGGCATCCAAATAGCAATCACCGCCTCCAGCCTCAATGGAATCAGAGCAACAGGTAATCAAAGACGAAGACGAGGATTTCCTTACTCCCCGAACCTTCGTCGTCCCCGAAGAGTCCGATACAACCATGTCAACTATCGAGGAGCTGGAGTAGGTCATTTTGATCGAACATATGCCCGAGAAAAAGGTATACTCGGGAACGGGATTGACCCTCGAACTCAGGAAAAAACTCATTCAAATTCTTATTGATAATATAGATTGCTTTGCTTGGTCCCATTTAGATATGACAAGGATTCCACCGGAGATCACCTTGCATCGGCTGAGCACCGATCCCAAGTTCAAACCGGTGAAGCAAAAAAAGAGGCCTCAATCCGAGATAAAGCATGCTTTCATAAAGGATGAGGTAACCAAACTTCTTAAAATAGGATCTATACGGGAGGTAAAATACCCCGAGTGGTTAGCCAATGTAGTTGTAGTTCCTAAAAAATGAAACAAACTTAGAATATGTGTAGACTATAAAGACTTGAACAAAGCATGCCTAAAGGATTCTTTCCCACTGCCCAACATCGATCGTATAATCGATGCCACAGCCGGCCACGAAATCCTTTTTCTAGATGCCTACTCCGGGTACTGTAAATGCCTAATTTTTGTTCTTTCTTATACATTGTAGTTTTGAGTAATTATTTTTGTGTGTGTTTGGAGATTTGAGAATTAGAATTTTAGTTTAATTAATTCATTAGAGGGA